ATTACGCGGTACAGCCCCAGAAGACGAAGGCAATAAATGCCTCTGGAACAAACCCACAAATCTCTGATGATCAAGTAAAACCTGACCATCAGTTTCCTTCATCTGGTCAAGCTTCCTCTTCATGTTTGTAGCATAGTCATGTGCGAGCCGGTGCAACTGTTTATTCTCATGCTTGAGCCCTCTAATCTCCTGTTTGAGACTCATCACTTCGGCCGCCAATGATTCAACTTGGCGGGTTCGAGCAAATAGGCGTTGGGCCATATTAGACACAGAACCTGCACACTGAACACTGAGAGCCAGCGAATCCTTAACAGCTAACTCATCAGACCGTTTGGAAAGTAGTCTGTTATGTTTGGGAGTGAGAAGGTTCCTGGCCACCACCGCAGCGGTCATATCATTCTTCATCACGGAATCCCCAACGGTAAGAGGACCAGTAGGGGAAACGAAGAATGGGCGCCATATGTTGTCTGGAGAAGGCGGGGCTGCCTCTTCAACAAGGTTCAAGTCAAAACGACAGTCGGAGGGGCCAGACATTTTCAAAGGTGTTGAAGAGAGAAGAGGTCGGACAAATCAAGATCTTAGAAGTGCAAGAATGGAGCTTCTACTGGTGGAGATTCAAGTGTGCTTTGGAACTTAATGCTAGCCCCTATAAAAAGTTGCACTCGACGGAGCTTCAGACATCGAAGAGGCGCCTGCTCAGAAATCGAAGAGGCGTTTGCTTTCTCAAAAGCTGGGCTGCTTAGAGACCACGAGGGTTGATCTCATAAATCGAAGAGGTGTTTGCTTTCTCAAAAGTTGGGCTGCTCAAAGACCACGAAAGTCGATCTCAGAAATCGAAGAGGCGCTCGCTTTCTCAAAAGCTGGGCTCCTCAGAGACCACGAGGGCCGATCTTAGAAATCGAAGAGGCACCTACTTTTCCAGCCTTGTCAGCACCTGTCACACGCACACTCAGCTTTGCGGAAATTATGGGTATTCTGTCGAAGATTTCTGGGGAAGTAGAAAACACATGAATCTTACTGTCCAATCACCCACTTCCCACACACAACAATAGCTCATGGGTACCACAGATAACTTTGCCAAAGTTCTCTGCCAAAGTTGAGCACGTGAAGCTTGCCGCTCCCATTACATCGCTCTGACCAAGAAGGGTAAAAGAATAGCAAAGAAACAGCACTAACAAAGTTTAGACCCATAAATTTTGAAGGTCTAGCTACCATATTATTACCCACAAGGGTAAAGGAACAGTACCACTGCTGGATAATTGGAAAGTCCCTGTGTGTCAACCTCTGTGCCTCGTGGCAAGGTAGACTAGCAAACATGCCCAACCTTTACTCACATTCGAGAAAACACTCCCAATAAGATTGCTTGCTCCAAAATCGAAGAGGCATCGTCCTCCGAATCTCGAGAGCCAGACTCCCAATATGACTACTTTCTCAAAAATCGAAGAGAGGGTAAAGGAACAGTACCTTTGCTGGATAATTGGAAAGTCCCTGTGTGTCAACCTCTGTGCTTCGTGGCAAGGTAGACTAGCAAACATGCCCAACCTTTACTCACATTCGAGAAAACACTCCCACCAAGATTGCTTGCTCCAAAATCGAAGAGGCACGCCCTCCGAATCTCGAGAGCCAGACTCCCAACATGATTACTTTCTCAAAAATCGAAAAGACACTGCTCCCCGAATCTCGAGAGCCAGACCCCCAGCATGATTGCTTTCTCAAAAATCGAAGAGGCATCGTTCTCCGAATCAATCGAAGAGGCGCTCGCTTTCTCAAAAGCTGGGCTGCTCAGAGACCTCGAGGGCCGATCTCAGAAATCGAAGAGGCACCTACTTTTCTAGCCTTGTCAGCACCTGTCACACGCACACTCAGCTTTGCGAAAATTATGGGCATTTTGTCGAAGACTTCTGGTGAAGTAGAAAGGTAAAACAATAGCAAAGAAACAGCACTAACAAAGTTTAGACACATAAATTTTGAAGGTCTTGCTACCATATTATTACCCACAAGGGTAAAGGAACAGTACCACTGCTGGATAATTGGAAAGTTCCTATGTGTCAACCTCCGTGCTTCGTGGCAAGGTAGACTAGCAAACATGCCTAACCTTTACTCACATCCGAGAAAACACTCCCAACAAGATTGCTTACTCCAAAATCGAAGAGGCACCGCCCTCCGAATCTCGAGAGCCAGACTCCCAACATGATTACTTTCTCAAAAATCGAAGAGACACTGCTCCCCGAATCTCGAGAGCCAGACCCCCAGCATGATTGCTTTCTCAAAAATCGAAGAAGCATCGTTCTCCGAATCTCGAGAGCCAGATACCACATACCACTTTTTCAAAGTGCTTTGACAGAGTTAAAACATGTGAAGCTGACAGCTCCCACTACCGTGCTATGACCAAGCAGGGTAAAGGAATAGCATTACTACTTGTTGTTAGGGAGACTCCTATATATGTCGACCTTCATCCCCAACGGACAGGCAGACCTGCAAAAATGCTCAACCCTTCCTTATATCTGAGAGGGCATTCCCAACGAAACCTTTCGAAATATTCAGCTTTCTTTCCCCCCGATAATACCTCTGCAATCAAGCTATACTAGAGCAAGAATATCTCATATCATCAGGGTTAAAAGCAAGAGTATCCCATATCATGCTTTTTCCCTGTCTTTACCTTTGGCCTTGTTTTTACCTGCAAGACAAGGAGAAATAGAGCAATCAGTCAGCACTTGAAATCAAGCTCCCAGCCAGGAACTGACTGCCTGGAACCCCTTACCTGATTACTTACCTGGCATTGCTCTCGAGTACTCATCTTCAACATCTTATGTTTCCAGGGAAGATATCGCATCTGCTTGAGCAACAGATAGGGCAAGTGCGAAGGATACAAGGAAGCATGTGGAGACAAGCGTAACAGCACACGTGCCGATACATCCATTACTCTGTCAAAAGCAAAAGTATCCCATATCAGCAGGGTCGAACGTACTCTAGATTTGATGGACTTGTTTTGACCCTCAAATTCTTCAGTCGGCCTTATACTCTGGAGGAAACTAGAAAACCCTCCAGCTCAGTTCAAGAATAAGCCTGTGGAAAGTTACTTCTTCAAAAGCAAAAGTATCCCATATCATCTATTCTCATTTTTCTTCTCTTTATCCTTCATGCTGCTGCAAGATGAGGAGAAGGTGAACAATCAGCCGGAGCTCTGATTGCTTACCTTGTCTGTCACCTCTTTCAGCAGATCCCCTAGCTCGGCGACTTGGGGGACTCCTACTACATGGTTTGTATCGCGCTGGACCAAGCCTGACACTACAAGTAAGCTTCAAGTGAAATTGATACATTACCTTGTGCATCTTTACCAGTTAAAGATACCACCCCTGGATGGAGGAAGAGTACTTCCAGAGAAGCTGCCACATCTACCTATGAGACAGATAAGGCAAGTCAAGATGATACCACACTCCGATACTTAGAAGTTTCGTGATTACGAGATCATTCTCCCACAATATTTCCTAATGTCATTTGTACTCTAATGTCATTTGTACTAAATCATTCACTGGTACTCACTAAAGGAGAGCTTGAACCTATGTACTTGTGTAAACCCTTCACAATTAATGAGAACTCTTCTATTCCGTGGACGTAGCCAATCTGGGTGAACCACGTACATCTTGTGTTTGCTTTCCTATCTCTATCCATTTATATACTTATCCACACTAATGACCGGAGCAATCTAGCGAAGATCACAAAAGCTACCGTTTTCGCTACCTAGGATCTATCTTGCAAGAGAACGGAGAATTAGATGGAGATCTCAACCATAGAATACGAGCTGGATGGATGAAGTGTAAGAGTGCATCCGGCGTGTTGTGTGACCGTCGTAGGCCACTGAAGCTCAAGGGAAAATTTTATAGGACGACATTAAGGCTAGCGATGTTGTATGGCACAGAATGTTGGGCGGTGAAACATCAACACGTACACAAAATGGGTGTAGCGGAGATGAGGATGCTTCGTAGGATGTGTGGGCACACGAGAAAGGATAAGATTGAGAATGAGGATATCCGAGGTAAAGTAGGAGTAGTCGAAATTGAAGGAAAGATGAGAGAAAATCGGTTCCGGTGATTTGGACATGTGCAAAGAAGGCCGACTGACGCTCCGGTTCGAAGATGTGACTACGGGACAGAGGTTCAGGGCCGAAGGGGTAGAGGAAGACCTAGGAAAACTTTGGAAGAGACTCTAAGAAAAGGCTTAGAGTACTTGGATCTAACGGAGGACATGACACAAAACCGAGCGCAATGGCGTTCTAGGATTCATATAGCCGACCCCACTTAGTGGGAAAAGGCTTTGTTGTTGTTGTTGAAGTAATAAAACATGCCATTTCTGGAGGAATGAGATTAAATTGTTTGCTTTGCTGGGACAGTTCTGTTTAGATTAATGGATTGTGTAGTCCACTTTGAAACCTAAGTAAGTTACGGATTCATTCTTCGTAGCGAATCTTCAATATTTAGTATGCAGAAGAAACATCTATTAGTTTCAATTTAATTACTTCTGAAAAGTTAGAGATTTGCTGAGCATGTTGGAAATTTGAATTACTAGCACTTTTGCATATCACACACTATGACCTATACTTCCTCTAATATTTTTGAACCAAATGTCAGTTTTCGTTTTTGCTATTGAAATGATGTTACATTTGTTGCATCTGCTTGGTTCCTTATTTTTATACTTCAAGGTATTATCAGTGTGCATTTGGTTTTGCTTGGTTGGGGTATAGGTTTAGTTGAAATAGTGTTGATTTTTTAGTAGTCATTTTCCCCTTTCCAGCTGCCAGTTTGTTGTTTGACATTGTAAATTTGTTAAGTATAATGCAAAAAAAAAAAAAAAAAAAAAGGATCAGCAGCACAATGTTTTATTTATTTTCAATCCTACGACAACGAGACACTTTCTAGTGGATTCTATTTATGGTTCTCTAGTTCTGAATTTCGGCCATCTCTTTTTAGAGATTATGGATTTCTGTGGGGACCAATAGATAATTCCAGATGTTTGTGCCAAGAGAAGGGCAAAGATAAATTAAATGGGCAAAAATATATAAGTTACAATATTTGATACTAATTCCAAATTCCACGGTTTCCTCAAACTAGCAAATGCATCTGACTTGTCAATTATTTCACAAGCACAGACTCAAACTGAAACCAGCCGCACGGGTTCACATCAATACTTCACTCGGAAGTTCTAGAAGCCGAAGATACATTATCGTCCACCGTAGAATACTCTACCCTGTTTCTAATGGTTTGCACTACTCCCTCAAGCTCCTCAGCTACTTTTTCCATTGAAGGCCTTTCCTCCTCCCTTGACCTCAAACATGTCACGGCAAGCTCGCTCACTTTTTTGGCCATCTCAAAACTGAACTTGTCTCTGTTTATTTCACCATCGAGAATTTGGCCCAAGCGATCCTCTTGCACTGAACGAACAAAGTCGTTTGCTAGGGATGTCTCAGACCCATTAGAAGAAACTGCCTCTTGATGTGTTAGTAGCTCCACTAGAACAACTCCAAAGCTATAGACGTCGTGTGATTTAAGATAATACTCGGGGTCTAAGTGTCTGGATGTCCCTGGCAAAGTTGATACTTCATCTTCATCAAGCAATCGCGAAGCTCCAAAACCGGTAACTTGTACAGTGTGAGTTGTACGATCTACTAATATATTCGTTGTCTTCACATCTCGGTGTATGACTGACCTGGAGTGCACATGTGCTAGAGCTCCTGCAGTTTCTGCTGCTATCTTCATTCGTGATTCCAACGAGAGTTTCGATCTGTTTCTGTGAAAGTGCTCAGCAAGAGTCAAAGCATCGGTGCGGTCATAAACCATTATAGGCCATCTTGTCTCTAAACAACAACCTAACAGCCTCTCCACATTTTTGTGACTGATTTCTAAAAGCACAAATGCCTCATGAACAAGACGTTGACTTTGGATGAACGGGTCACCAATAGCACTGTTGCACGTTTTTATGGCGACAGCTCTTCCATCTAATTCTGTGTGGTAAACTGTTCCATAGCCTTCTTCATTTGGATTGTTCAAACAAGTGTAGTTTCTTGTGGCCTCCTTAATAGCCCCTTCAGAATAATAGTCAGTAAAAAGGTCGAATTCCGATTTCCGTACGAATTTGCCGTAATTTTTTATGAAATGCTTCCGGAATTTGGTGGCTACACTCTCCATGTCACCGGCCGTCAGAACAAGGGCTTCAACAACATCCGTAATTACAAAAGGAGACTTAGCTGCTGCAGGTACTTCATCAGGGAAAGAGGTTGAGAATGGCCAAACCAGAAGTTCTTCTCCATAGATTTCTCCCGCGTCTTTTACCCAACCTTCTTGGCCTATTCTTCCTTCCACAATCAACAACATTTGAATTGGGTCACCCTTTTTAATAATGTTATCGTTACGATTATACGTCTTGGGCCGAAGGTGGTTACAAATTTCTTTCAGAACTTTATAATCCATGTTTTGGAATGCTAGCACCTACATTTTATAACATATAAGTAACTTAATTGACGGATTAAAAAAATCTAATACATAAGTATATACTTATAACTAACTCATGAATTTTAAAAACTTTCCATCCATCATTAATCTCTAACGTTTTTATTAAAATCTGCAGCCTTCGGACCGTTCTTGTGTTTGCTTACTACAAGAAAAAGTGGCCACGTAAATGTGAAAGGTGTGATTGTTGCTCAGTTGAAATGATGCATTGTGGCTTTAGATCTATTTAAATTATAATTTGTAGACCACAAAATACGGTGTTTAATTATTATTATTTTTTTAATCATCACATAATATTTTTCTTAAATGAATCATGACATTATTGCAACCCCATAAGTGTCATGTTTTTCTTGTTTCTAGCACTCACTTTTTTATAGCATATTTTTAATTGTTTTTTCCTGGTTTTAGTTAATTACCATTTTTGGGTTATTTGGATAATAATAACTACAAATGTTCACATGCTTCAAGTAATATAAAAAAGCATCCAAGTGGATGGTTTTCCTTTTAAAATTTATTGGTGTGAAAGGATAGGGGTTAGAAAGTTCTAAGTGGATGGTCTTTATTAGCTGACGAATTCTTCCATTTGACAGCTTATTTTTTCTTTTGTTTTGTTTTTTTCTGTCTCGTGTACTTACGCTCTACCTTATTCATGGGCAATTGCTAGATTGTTTTGTAGCCTAGGCCCTAGGTTGGGGTTGGTATAGTACACGTTAGTTATGCTGTATTTAAATGCCTGGGAGCTATAATATCTCATGGATTTGAAGAAACTTTACCTGCTTCAAATAAATAAATGCCTCAAATTCTATGTTCAAAATTAAAGCCATGGATTCATGGATTTGAAGAAACTTTACCTGCTTCAACTTTGTCAACGGCATGTAACTTATGATCTCTTTTTGAAAATCCAAGGGAAGACCATAAACGAGATGATCCCAATCGAGCAAATCCCAATAAAGATCATCTTGTTGAAAATTTTCTTCCACGTTTTTCATCATCCGCGACTTTACATCTTGATTCAACCTTTCAGGAATTCCATTACTACATATCAATTCATCTATATTTCGCTCAATCTCCTCCTTCATCATTATTCTGTGTCTAGGCTTCTCTTTTTCAAAAATGTCTAATTTGCGGTATATCTATTGATCCAAAATAACAAAAAGGTTGTTAGAGTTCGTTAGTTCAAGTAAAAGAATATGTAGCCAAATTACAATCAAATTGAGGTTGTTAGAGTTTCGTAAAGGCTTATTGAAGTTTTCAGATTATATGAATCTAATTTAAATAATTTTGAACCCTCTCCCTCCTATTGCCAATGGTTTTAACTAAGATGGATGCTCAATTTTAATAGGGTGTCAGATGAGGCTATCTACGTGCTATGCATCACTCAATATGTGTTGTTTACTCCACACATTAGGCTTAAATGGCCCCGCATGTGAAGGGTTGCATTGAAAACATGAAAGTCTTATCTGATAGCTTAAATAAGGGGGGTAATTCTTGGATCTCTCTCTTATCCCAATTAATTTTACTATGGATGCTCAATTGTAATTAGGGAAATGTGCATTTGATTAAGAGCTTACACTTTGCAAGTCATGTGCGTAGAGAGCAAGGGCTTCAACAACACCAATTGCCTTGACAGATTCAGTTGCCAACGGTCTTGTGAAAGGAAAGTCAGTGGAGAATGGCAAACGTAGAAGTTCTTCTCCAAATAATTCTCCTGCACCTTGTCTCGAATCAACAGAAGATCTCTTTTCAACGGATACAAATCCGTCTACAATGTAGACCATCTTGTCCAGTTGTTCACCCTTTTGAATAATAAAGGTGTTCTCAGTATACCTCACAGGCTCGAGTTTCTGACAGATTATTTTGAACACATCTTCGTCTATCCCTCGAAGCATTGGCACCTGGAATTCATATTGTTAAAATCAGAGAGAAAGCAAGAAAAGTCATAGGAAGAATTAATTAAATTCTTATTAAAATGATAAAGAGATACAATCCTCGTTTTATATGCTTATCAAGGTGAGTAATTACTTGCTTCAACTTGGCAAAAGGCTCTTTTTTTTTTTTGCACCTTTGAACATCCGAAGGAAGAAGAGGGAGAATAAAAAACGTAACTACTACAACGTTTGATGATTGTTTTTCTTAATGGTCTCCTTAGTATTTTTCTTAAATGAGTCGTGCCAATAAAAAACCTAACTAATGCCATAAGCATGACTTCTTTTTAATTTTTCTATCCAATTAGTATCACACTTTTCCTGTTTCTACCACTCACTTTTTATAGCATATTTTTAAATTTTTTCCCTGGTTTTAGTTAATTACCATTTTTGGGTTATTTGGATGATTATAACTACAAATGTTCACATGCTTCAAGTAATATAAAAATGTATCCAAGTGGATGGTTTTCCTTTTAAAATTTATTGGTGTGAAGGGATAGGGGTTAGAAAGTTCCAAGTGAATGGTCTTTATTGGCTGGCAAATTCTTCTATTTGGCAGCTTATTTTTTCTTTTGTTTGTTTTTTTTCTGTCTCATGTACTTACGCTCCACCTTATCATGGGCAAGGGCTAGATTGTATGTAGCCTAGGCCCTAGGTTGGGGTTGGTATAATATACGTTAGTTATGCTGTATTTAAATGCCTGGAGCTATAATATCACATGCGCATGGGATATTGGGATGAGAGCTATAAATAAATAAATGCCTCAAATTCTATGTTCTAAATTAAAACCATGGATTCTTGGATTTGAAGAAACTTTACCTTCTCCAACTTAGTCACTGGCAAGTACCTTTCGATCTCATCTTGAAAATCCCTAGGAAGATGAGAAAAGAGATGATCCCAATAAAGATCATCTTGATGAAATTTTTCTTCTACATTTTTCATGATCCGCGACTTTACGTCATGATTCAACCTTATAACAATCTCATTCTTACGTATCAATCCATCTATATATAGCTCAATCTCCTTTTTCATCATTCCTTTGTGTCTACGCGCCTCTTTTTCAAAAATGTCTGATTGATTGTATATCTATTAATCCACAACAACAAAAAGGTGGTTAGAGTTTGTTAGTTCAAGTAAAAGAAAATCTAGCCAAATTACAATCAAATTGAGGTAATTAGAGTTTATTATAGCTTATAGGCTTATTGAAGTTGTCAGAGGAAATAAAATTTTGCCTAATAATTTAAAATAATTTTGGACCCTCTCCCTCCTATTCCCAATGGTTTTAACTAAGATGGAGGCTCAATTTTAATATGGTTTTAGATGAGACTATATAAGTGCTATACATCACTCAATATGTCTTGTCTACTCCACACATTAGGCTTAAGTTCCCCCGCATGTGAAGGGTTGCGTTGAAAACATGAAAGTCTTGTCTGATATTTTAAATACAGGTAATTCTTGGATCTCTCTTTTATCCCAATTAATTTTCCTATCGATGCTCAATTTTATTAAAGGAAATGTGCATTTGATTAAGAGCTTACACTTCGCAAGTCCGATGCGTTGAGAACAAGGGTTTCAACAACACCAGTTGCCATGACAGATTCAGTTGCCAACAACGGTTCTCTAAGAAAGAAGAAAGTGGAGAATGGCCAACGTAGAAGTTCTTCTCCACATAATTCTCTTGCACCTGCACTTGCACCTCGTCTCGAAGAAGATCCCTCTTTAATGTATACAAATCCGTCTACAATGTAGACCATCTTCTCAAGTGGTTTATCCTTTTGAATAATAAAGCTGTTCTCACTCTCAGTATATCTCACATGCTCGAGTTTCTCATAGATTATTTTCAACAAACCTTCATCCATCCCTCGAAGCATTGGCACCTGGAATTCATGTTGTTAAACTATCAGAGAGAAAGCAAGAAAACCCATAGGAAGAAATTCTCATTAAGGATAAAGGTACAATCATCAACAGTTAACTAAATTCTTAATAAAATGATGAAGATAATACTTGGTACTGCCTGTTCAGTACTCAAAATTTACTGACCTCCTAATAGTCCAATACAATAAAGACAAGTGTTCATTTTCAAGTCTCTAAACAGAACCCGGCTTCTCTGCCCTCCAACTTCCCATACACTTATATCCCCTCCTATTTTGTGCGGTCACGATTAAGTCACGTTAATATTTTATATTGATTTTTTTATAGAGATAATAAGACAAAAAGCAATAGTAATATAAAATGTTGACGTGGCTTAATCGTGACTATATAAATAGAAAGGGATGAGAGTGTATGGAAAGTGGGAGGGCAGAGAAGCCAGGTCCCTATAAACACACAACCAAACTCTGATCGAACATTGAATTCACTCTCTTCTCCGATGACCCCAATCCCTGTTTTCTGCCACCCACTGTGATCATCGTCCTCTGTTATGATTGCGACCTGTTGTCATCAATCCGGAGAGTGGGTCTTATCATTTGATCTCAACCTAAACTTGTAACCTAGTGCCAATTTACCCCTCAACTTTATTTTCAGTCAATGATCTCCCTAAACTTTTATTTATTGCCAAATTCCCCTTGCCGTTTAAGTTTCTCACATTTTATCCATGATTCACAATAAAAGTAAGATTTAAAAATGAAAATAAAAAACCACATCTCTCACCTCCCCTCTTCTACCCAATTGTAACCCTTCTCATCCACCCCAAATCTCAAACCACCAGCCACCCCTAATCTCATATCAAATTCATCCGCCTACCGCTTCCCTCAAATTCAGCCCCAGTACCACCCCGCCATAACCCACTCACCCCACAACCTCCATTGGCAAGCCCACGCACAGAACCACAGCCTCCAATGGCATGTCGCATGTCCCAGATGCTAATTCAAAAAGGGTTCTAAATGACGATTTTGCCCTCCAAACTAACGGAATCATGGATGAAATGGGTGATATTTAACGGAAGTTGGGAATTTGGCCATAAATAAAAGTCTTAAGGGAGTAATTGGTTAAAATTTAAGTTCAAAGGGTAAACTGACAGTAGGTTAAAAGTTTAGGGGAGATTTCGACAAATAGGCCTTATCCAAAAGATAAAGAGATACTATACTCGTTTTATGTGATTATCAAAGTGAGTAATTAATTAAAGGGTAAATTCAGATATAAAGAACTTACTTGCTTCAACTTTGTCAAAGGCATATAATCTTCTATACGGCTTTGAACGTCCGAGTGAAGAAGAGGGAAAATTTTATCCAAATTAATTTCCATACCGTCTTCAAGTGCTTGTTGTACCTTTTCTATTATTTGCAACTTCATATCCTTATTCAACCTAGTGGGAACGCCTCTTTTAAATAACCATAATTCTATATCAAGACCTTTTTCTTCCACCTTCTGTTCGATTAGCATCTTGCGTTTGCGATCCTCTCTTCTTGTAGTTTCAAATTGCATATACATCTATTCAACAAGTAAGAGATTGATAAGAATTAGATTGTCATATTGGATAACAACTATTTTTCTTTGAAGTTGAATGTCATCAATATATTAGATTTTTAGTTTAATCTTTTTTTTCTACATTACAAAAAAGAAATACTACTATTTCAATCCAAAAAAAAAAGAAAGAATGAAATACTACTACCTTAATAACAAGTAGGGGTGGGCATGTCTGACCAACTCAACTGATATAGGTTGGGTTCTAAACGTTAAAAAGTTATTTTTGGGTAAAAACTCGACCATCTATTTTGAGTTAGGTTGAAATGCTAATAATCCGATTGAACCAGACCCATCTGAAGGATAATACATGCCTTAGACCAACTCCAACCATGAATTATAACCTAAAATTTCCCTTTTTTCCTCCCAAAACCCACTCCAACCCATGACCTAAAGTAAGCCGAAAACCTAAAACCCAAATGGGGGCCAAATTCCGATCACATTTTAAGCCACAAAGTAAAATGGGCCCCACATTTCTGCTGAAGAAAAGGAACCCCACGTGGGGGTGTTCCCCCAACTTTCAATGCAAAAAGTAGCTGTTGGCTACTTTATATCATCAGCCCAATGCAAAAAATAGTCATTGGCTACTTTATATCATCCAAGTTCAAATTTTTTTTTTTTAGTTTTTTATGTATGATATCTAAAACCAGAACACGGTCACATGGTGTTACCATCTCATTCAAATTACACACAGATTTGGTTTTTATTAATACATCCTAAAACCGAGAATATCATCTATGTCATCTACTTATATGATAACACGTAGAATAATATATTATGTGGTAAGTGTTCCTGTTACAAGTAGAAATTTCTTATACATGGCATTTAGATTTAGTGAAAAAAATAAAACTCATACTTAACATATATTAGATTAGAGTGAATTTGATGGATATCAAAATCTTCACATATCAAGTTTACGTAATTGGAGTGATTAATAGCACTTAATTAATGAGACATACGAAAAGTTTTTTACGCAAACCTGCAAATTTCCGATGAGATATAAAAACAGAAGCAAGCCACTTATAGAAATAAAAATCGTATAGAGATTCTCCCATCCATCAGCACTTGGCTCAAGATTTGAACCCAAGGAACTGCAAAAATGAAATTAATGGATCATTATATAAGATATCAAATTTCAAGTTATAAACTTACAAATTCACAACCATTTTTCCAAGGGTTTATTTGGTTCCATGGTGCCTTCTTCCTACAATTTATCCACGATAACATTTTTGTCTCTCAACTTGATTTTTAATCTCTACGAGGCCTTCTACTCGACTCTATTTCGTAGAAGCAATACTTTAGGTTCTCGATGTGATTTATACCCTCAACAAAAAGAATTGATATAAATCGTGAACAAATTCAGAAACCTTAAAAAGTCTAAATTTCTCAACAAAGGAAGACAAAAATGTACAAACCTTAAATTTCGCAAACCCCACCAGAAACAGTTCAAGAACTTTTTGAAATAACTGGTTGATCCCACAAGACCATATTCAAGCGCAGTAGCAAATATACCAAAATCAAAGAACATTGTGTCTGATGAATTATCACCATCACTGACAGGGCATAAATCATTTAAAATTGTGGTATTTCTAAAGAAGTGGTGATCATGACAACCAAACATTCTGTTATCACATCCATCATTTTTTCGACATGCAGAATGCCAACAAATCATCATTCGTTGAATAGAAAAAAAATACCACAGGGCTCCGGCTACCTGAAAATTAAACAAACAAATAAATAGCCTGGGGAAATTATTAATATTTTAGATGCTATGGTTACTTCAAAATAGTCATTTCACGCTCTTTCTAATAAACAAAAGTGAGACCAGGATAATAAGAATTGATTTGACAAAAAAAAAACAGATAATATATTGAAACTTACATGACTAGCAATGATGTACATAGAGAAATTGAGTACACCTTTAATCCATATCGGAGTCTCTCTAAGCTTTTCTTTAAGAGGCCTTTTTTTGAGTTCTTTAAATGAGAGGTAGATGCGAAGAACTCGTGGCACATATTGCAACAGAGCGAAAACGTTCATAAGAACCATCCTTGTTGTAGTCAAAGATCTCAAGTCAATCATTTTTGAGAAGAAAATGAGGATTGCCACCTGGATACCATTCATTACTAGTGCCAACAGTAAAATTTGATGGATGAATAACAATGTTGTCTAGAACACAAAATTAATACTCTCTAACAAAGTGTACGTGAGACTCAAACATATATTACATTACGTGTCAGTTTTGTGCATATAACACGAAAAAATCCGTTTTGGCCGCAGGCAAAGCAAATAGGGAAAACAATTACTCCAAGAAAGGGATTTAAGTTCTTACCTGTGAAAGGGGAAGAAGAGCTACAATGTCAATTAAGATATCATATGACGCCCATATTGTCTTGGCTATTCTTGGCACACAAGATTTCATCACAAAATTAAAATTCAGCCGGTGTTGTCTGCGGTTAAGTTCATCGATTAAACCCGAATAGTTCTCAGATCTATAAATTCGAATAATGATGTCCATTAAATAGAAAAAATCTGTGAGTGATCTCAAAAGAAGAGTGACTATCTTCAACTTCGGATCTAACATAAGGCACTTGATATCATCCTTCAGAATAGGAATGTAGAGGAACAATGGATCCAATATGATAGCACACAAACACGATGATATAAATATTTTCTTCCAATATTTCTGATCTAGAGACTCATGAGGTTTTTGAGTTTTCGCTGTCCATATGCAACTTACTTCCATATGCGAGTTTTCCATTCTGTCCTTTGGATTTGAATTTCAGAATTACTGGACAAAACACAACTAATATAATTAGTAGTTGTCCTAAAAAAACCAAAATTTCTCAAGACATAGTGTTGGAGCACTTACAATCGTCGGATTTGATCTAGTAATTGAAATTTGTTGAACATTCATCAAATCCGATGATTATAAGTGCTCTATCACTCCGGTTGCACCGGAAAAAAAAATCATAAAATAGTTGACACAACATTTTGGTGAAAAAAGAAAAAACAAGAAATTACTCAAACTTACTTTTCTTTTTTTCGGCAGAAAATAGAACTGAATCTTGGAGCTAAAACTCTGAAATTTTGCAGATAAAGTAGCATATCCACTTCGAAACCAAATTTGAGATTTCAAATTTCTGTAACTGAAATGTTCAAGTAGAGTGGATATATGGATGCTGTAGTCCACTTTTTATGGAAGCGAATTCAAATAAATCCTGTTCAAGTGGGCAAGTTTTTGGAATCTGAGTGTCATGTTGCATTGAAATTGAGCCGTTTGGCTCTGTTCCTTCACGTGAGGTGGGCCTCCCGCTGTCTGATGCTTCTCCGCTCGGGCCACTGATTGCCCGAAACATCGGAAGAGCAGCAGCTCTCCCTTTCTTCTCTATTTCTCTCTCACACTCTCTTCTTTCTATAAGGCAAATACTTTGCAGAGTGGAATAAATGCCAACAGCGTTTTTTTCTTTTCCAATTGAGAGTGTCGGCTACATACAATTTTTGTTTGAAACAAAGTCATCATCACTATTACAATGTTGAGTGGCTTTCACGGTGCAAAGTTCCACACAAAATGAGCCACAAATTTAATATTCTTCAAACTGAAAAAAGTAACGTGCATTTCTTTTGTTTTATTTCTTGAAACCTTTGGTGAAATAATAACTAGGTAACTCAGAAGGACAACACTATTTGTATTTGGCATAGCAAATATTTGAGGGTCTATTTTTGCTCATCATTATAAATTATAATGTATGCATATCATACACCTAATCATCTATCACGTATCTTTTTACTTAACTTTGATTGATTTTTTCCTAAATTTAAAAAAAAATAATATCAAAATTAAATAAAACAACACGTGACAAATAATTGTCCAAAAAATCACTAAAGCTGCATCTTTTCTATTTCTCACTCTTTTTTACACTATCTTTTGCTAAAGATGCATATTTTCTATTTCTCATTCTCTTTTTCCAAAGGTGCTTCCTCTATATTTCTCACTTTCTTTTTCTAAAGGTGCATGTAATACTAGAGAAAATAAATTTTTTCCACTAAATTTACAAATTAAATGATGTGGTTGTAAATAATTAAATTATTAATTAAATATCAATTAACGTTCTTATTTTTTATTAATAAGACATCATTTAATTTGTAAATTTTTAAATTTTTTTTTTTTGTTTCCCTACCATTATTTAAAAAAGGAAAATGTTAGCTCTCAAATAGGGCTTTCGGCTAATTTCTGCTCTCTCCTATCTATAAGGCTAATTTCTACGTTATAAAGCAGAATGATTGACAATTGCTCTTCCACCCCTGACTAATCGAATTGAGCCGGAGCACCTTTTCTTGTTTTTGGGCAAGAATTGCCCAATTGCCTGACCAATGCGGTGATGCTCGGAATAAGCCTCAAATTCAAAAGTTTTCCTATTTTAAAATACGAAATAAAAAACTGAAAGTGTAGTGCTAAGAAGACTATTTATTTAGGCTCACTTTTATTAATTATGATGTAATTGTTAATGATTAGCCCTTGTGATAAAAAAAAATTTAACTGTAACCTTGTGATGAAAACCGTTAGTAATTTGTAGTACAAGTCAAACATCCTTTGATATTATGCCAAACTAGCAAGGGTGATCGCAGTGCTACGTGTTTTCAAATCATATAAAACATGTAAAACTCTATTTACATACATGTAGAAATATCAGGACAATTCAATACTCATCACGTGACATTAAAAAAGTTTGACGTTAAGGAACAAAATAAGAAGCAAAATAGCTTGAAGCATGTTGCAATCATCTCCCTATTTTTTAATCAAATTTGAAATAAAACAACTAAATAATTTTCTTAGGATCTCCTTAACAACACTCCTCCAACCACTCTTTAATTTAGATAGTCAGAATTAGTACGAACCAATAGAAATAAAGTTTTAATTTAAAGTATAATTTAAACGGTTCATTTTTCACTCCCTTTAACATTTCTTATCTCCTGTATAGTTGTTTCTTCATTACATCATTTGGATGCCTCATTGAACAAAGATGGTGTGGGGTTCAACTTTGTTTGATCGTTTCTTATTTCGCCATTTTTTTGGAGACTTTTTCCGTCTTGCCAGATATCTCTGTTTCCATGTCTCTCTCCCTTGTTTTAAGCTCTCTCAATTTATCAAGTTGTACTAAATTAAGCTTTCGTTATTGCAAAAGATGGTTTGACTTTTACATATAAAACAAATTAGATAGTTTGCAATCATGTTAACATTTTCAAGCAACAATTAAGATTTCTAATAAACTAAGACCTATGCCAGCACAAGAACTATCACCTATCTCACCATGTGACATAAACAAAGATCTATCACCAATCACGACCAAGAGATATTTTTAGTGTGTCTGAAACATGAGGTGGTATATCATTTGTCATTATATAATTAGAGAGAAATTTTTTATTTCAAGTGTCTCTCCACTTGTTTAATAATAGGCGTCTGCCCATATTCTGAACACACTAAAAAATATCTCATCAGCAAGCGACTACTAACCATAAACAAAGACCCAAAGCCTTTATCCAAAGCGATTCCTTCTCTCTTTTTTATTATAAAAATTTGGACTAATCGTGGGGGTCACTCTACTTCGAACTTCAACAATTTCAACCATGTTTATTTTTCAAATCTTCATTCATAGACCATCCTTACAAAAAATCAATTAAATACCTGAAATATTTCTGATTTGACTAATGTTTTGTAAGAATGATCTATAAAATGCAATTTAAAAAATAAATGGTTTGAATATTGAAGTTCGATGTGAAGTGAGCCACACAACTAGTATCCATTTTATAAAAAAAATTGAAACCCCTTTATATTAATTTTCAATCTTCTTTGTCCCTTCCATCCAACTACCCTTATTCATAACTCATTTTTCTTATGTATTTTATAATTTCAGTTGTCACTCTACTTGTTTAATAACATATGACATTTGTGTCTGTGTTCCGAACATAATAAAAAATCTCTCGTCACCAAGCGACTGATAATCATAAACAAAGACCCAAAGCCTTTATCCAAAGCAATTTTTTTTTATTTACAAAAAAAATGGACTATTTGTGGGGCTAACTCTACTTCGAATTTTAACAATTCGAACTATGTCTATTTTTTAAGTCTTCATTCATAGACTATTCTTACAAAAAATCAATTAGATAGATGGGAATGTTGAAGTAAGATGTGGAGTGAGCCACATAACTAGTCCCCATTTCTATCAAAAAAAGATAATGCTAGAGAGACTAAGTTTAGAAACAAAATTTGCAAACGAAATAATGTGTCATCAATAATAATGAACACATTTATAAATGTTTAAGTAATAAACTAATCATCAACTTTCATGTTCTTTAATTTTTAAAAATTTATCTCTAAATTTAGTCTCCCTATCATTATCCATAAAAAAATTGGAATCCCTTTAAAACTAAGGGGCTGAACAAAGACCTACGTCAGCAAGTGAACTAAGGTCTATGTTAGCAAGTGGCTAATAAACATTTTCAATCAACAATTAAATAAAGGTTGGTAATAAACATAGTTTGCAATCATAATTCGGAATGACAACCAATAAGCAAGTGGCGGATGACTGGCATCAGTAGTGTAGGGAAGGGAGGGTTAATAAGCTCACATGAGTCACTTGACAACTAAGTTGAGTTTAAGTTTGGGGGACAAGGATCCTCTTCGGATCATCTTTGTGGGGATTCAAAAATTAATCAATCATATTCGTTTATTATAAATCGTGCGGCTAGTTTACGTTAGATATTATTTATATTTAATTTTTAATTTAAAATTTAAAATGATTTCTAACCGCACGATCTACAATGAATGAACACGATTGATTGATCCTCTAAATCCTCACAAAGAAGATCCAAAGAGGATCCTATTCCAAGTTTGGGGTGTGCTATTCTCACACTCTTTTTTACTTCTTACACACTTTCTTAATTTTTGACCGTCTAATCGAATTAATTAGAGATGATCAAATGATAGAAATTAATAAGTGTGAAAGAAGTAAAAAAAAAAGGTGTGCGATTATCACATCCCTTAAGTTTATGTCTTCATGCTTTTAAGAGCTTCTACCAAAGCTTCAATCTGGCTTTCCTGGTATCCTCGTTAATGGCAACTTTTGCAGATACAGAGACATTGTCGGTGTTGTTGGGAAAGGGATTCTATTTGGATCCTTTTCACCGAATCCATCTAATCACCTAATCTGGATCCTTAAAATTTGATCCAACGGTTAAAGTTATTATAACTTTTAAATGGCCCTTTGTTTATAATCGTTGAATCAAATTTCAACGATCCGGATTAATTAATTAGGTGAATTTGATGGAAGGAATCCGAATATGATCTCTTTCTAGGGTTGTTGGATTAGGAACTTCAAAGAATTTTTCATTTGTTTATTTAAATTGTTAATATTTAAAATTGTAAGAGCCATTGCTACAGAGTATTAAGATCTGATGATATTTTTCTTTACTTTTAAGTAAGGGATCTCATGTTTGAATCTCGAGGATGATGAATTCAATATCAAATTAGATTGTTCATTGTGTAGATTAATATAAAACATATCATTTTACAAAAAAAAAAATTACAAAAATTATTTAGTGCTATAATCTAATGGTATTCTTTTCTACTTCTAATTTTCTGCGTAGGGATTGTCAAATGGGCTGAGGGCCATGTTAAATTTGAGGACTTGGATTGTCTGTCCTCCCATTTTGGTGCCCTCCTCGTGCCCTCCTGTTTTGTGTGGTCACGGTTAAGTCATATCAACATTTTATATTATTTTTTTATAAAAATAATAAAACAAAAAGAAATAGTAATATAAAATGTTGACGTGGCTTAAACGTGACCACACAAACAGAAGAGCACGAAGAGAGTACTGAAATGGGAGAGCAGACAATCCAAGTCCTAAATTTGAGTCGGGTTAGGTCCCAGCACGTGATGGGACTCTGAAAAACTGTGCAGCTACTTTTATTTTGTCGGTTGATGCAAGGGTTATGAAAGCTTTTTGGGGTTTGCGAATAATTTTTTGTTTGTTTTACCAATGGAGGTTGGTCAGAATGGAAGAGGTCCCCGCATATGTGCCCGACCGTACGGTCCGTACCTCGAAAGATTAGTCTTGGGCTTTGCCCGGGGACACCTTGGAAACCAAAATTTTTTGTTTTTTTTTTAATCTCTAAATTTAAATATTATACTAAGTACACTCCCATTAAAGTG